CCAAGATATGGAAACAGCCTAAATGTCCACTGATGGATGAATGGATAACGAAAATGTGGTATATGAATATTTATTTACTTCAGACAGTCCCACTGTGTTGCCCTGGGGCCCTGGGTAGAGTGCTGTGGCTTCATCATAGCTCACAGCAACCTCAAACTCCTGGGCTCAAGCGGTCCTCTTGCCTCAGACTCCTGAATAGCTGTGATTTCATAATGTATAAAAGTGGTAAGAGTCTCTCTGTTGCCCTGGCAAGAGTGCAGTGGCATAGTCATAGTTTACTGCAATCTCAAATGCCTGGGCTTAAGACGACCTCCTGCCTGAGCTTCCTAGGTAGCTGGGACTATAGAACTATGCCAGCAGGCCCAGCTAAGTTTTCTATTTTTTTGTAGAGATGGGTTCTTGCTCTTGTCAGACTGGTGTCAAACTCCTGACCTTAAGTAATCTCCTACTTCAGCCTCCCAGAGTGCTGGGTTTACAAGTGTGAGCTACCACGTCCAGCTGAGGGCAAACATTTTTGCCTTGCTCCAAATCTTAGGAGAGCATTCAGTTTTTCATCATTAATTATGATGTAAGCTGTGGGGTTTTTGTAGATTCCTTTTGCCAGGTTGAGGATATTATTTTCTATTCTTAGTTTGTTAAGTTTTTTTTTGAGACAGAGTCTCACTATGTTGCCCTCCCTAGAGTGTTATGGTGTCACAGCTCACAGCAACATCAAACTCTTGGGCTTAAGTGATTCTCTTGCCTCAGTCTCCCAAGTAGCTGGGACTACAGGTGCCTGTCACAATGCCTGGCTATTTTTTGGTTGGAGTTGTCATTGTTTAGGAGGCCTGGGCCAGGCTTGAAACAACCAGCCACCAGTATGGCTGGCGCCCTACTCACTGAGCTACAGACGTGGAGCTGAGTTGTTTTTTTTTAATCTTAAATGGGTATTAGATTTTATTAAATTAGTTTTCAGCATCTTATGAGATTATCTTGTGGTTTTTATACTACATTTATTGATTTGGGGTATTAAACTGGCCTTGCATTCCTGGAATAAATTTCACTTGGGCATAGTATTCAACCTTTTTTTCAAAAATACATTGCTGGACTTTGTTTGCTGATATTTTGATAAGGGTTAGAGAAGGTATTAAGTAGCAGGATAAAGCCATTGTGGTTTGATAACAGTCAAAAGATGCAATTGCAGTCACAAGATGTCTTAGAAATAATGATGGGGACTTCCATTTTGATTGAACTTAAGGTGTTCCTGGTGAGTCATCTGTATGGAAATGCCTTGGAAATAATTAGCCATGTAGCTACTTTTCCTAAAGTGCAGTTCTAGTGAATTCACTGGTGATTTTTTTACTCCTTATACTGGCATTGAATCTTTTAAAAATGGCCCAGGTTGCAATTCCTCTCAAGGGACTAGCCCCCCCTTTCCTTGATTGCCTTTGCTCTTGTAAAGGTTTCTGCCTTGAAATACCCTTTCAAAAAATCATACTCATACTTTGAGCTTACCTCATTGGATCCTCCAAAACTGAATTGTATGTTACTGTCTTTTTAATTTCTGTAACAATTTGCTTATACTTCTGTGCTTATCATATTCTGCTTTGTACATAAAAAGCATTTGATAAGCACGGGTGAATTGCATTGCCTTTGTTATTTGTCTCTCAAAGTGGCAAAAAATGAACTCTAGATGAGGGGTGTCCAAACTTTTGGCTTTTCTAGGCCACATCAGAAGAACATGAGTTGTCTGGGCCACACATTAAATACACAAACACTAAAGAAAGCTGATGAGCAAACAAACAAACAAACAAAGGTCTGTGCATAATTTTCGTGATATCTGCCACCACAGATAAGCAAAAAGTCCTCACGCAATTATCCTAATTATGATGCAGTAACCATTCAGAGAGTTTTTAAAATTGTCGAGCAGGTCCCAAGTTCGTGACCACTAATACAGAAAATGCGCATACTTAAGTAATATAATATTTTTGTAATTTTTGATATTTTTATCATAAAAGTAAAGTGGGCAACATAAACTAGTAGGATATGTGACATTGTATTTGAGACATTAATGCATCAATATCTAGTTCAAGGGAACTAGTTGCAATTCTCAGTGAATTCTCAAGGTGCTCATCAGATAGTTTGGTTCTAGTTTTACTCTTACTGTGCTTCATTCTTGAAAATAGTTGCCTATAAATGTAGGTGCTGCCAAAAGGTGATGGCATGAATAAGGTGAGATTGGGAAGCAAGGGATATTTGTCTCTCTTATTATTCCATATGTGTCATCTGCTTAAATAAATTCTTTTTTTTTAGACGGAATCTCACTCTGTCACCCTCAGGAGAGTGCTGTGGCATCATAGCTCACAGCAACCTCAAACTCTTGGGCTCAAGCGATTCTCTTGTCTCAGCCTCCCAAGTGGCTAGGACTGTGCCAGCATGCTTAGAGAAACTCTTCTCAGAGACCTCTGCCTGCTGGGCCACTC